TAAATGAAGTACTGTATATCCAAAGATACCAGGCCCAGCAGCTGACACAACAGGAACTTTTAAAATGTAAAAATAAATATACATAACTCTGCCTAAATGAATTGCCACAAAACTAAAATTCAAAGGTTTTTTTTAAACATAGTTTTTTTCTTTTTATAGTTTTGTTTTTTTTCCTACATGCTTAAGAATACTAAAAAAAAAAAAAGCACGCTACACCCTTTCTTGATGCTGGGTCATCATTATGAATAATAGTTGCTATGCTGTACTATAAAATACAAGGATGCTCTTAGGAACAAATAAGAAATATACTTATTTTTTGCTATAGAAAATTTCCCATTGTGATGCTAAAGTCCTTGCACTGAGAGGTTCTTTTCCTGGTTTCTCTTTGTTCTTTTTATTTATTTTTTTTATAAGATGGGGTTTCACCATGATGGCCAGGCTGGTCTTGAACTCCTGACCTCAGGTGATCTACCCACCTCAGCCTCCCAAAGTGCTAGGATTACAGGCATGAGCCACTGCGCCTGGCCTTCTCTTTGTTCTTAACCTTCAGCTATATCTGGGAGATGTTACAGGGCTACTATCCTTTAAAACGTATCTACAGTAGGCTAGAAAAATCAGATAACCGAAGTTCATAAAGTTACTATATGTAGAAAAAAAAAAAAGGAAAATATATCCTAAAAAAGATACACTCCAATCAACTTTTAGCAGGTTTACAACTAAAGTAGTTGGCCAAAGCTGTCAAACAGCTTCTGAGTAAGGGAAGTAGCACTTAAAAATGGCCATTTCAAAATAAATATGTATTGCCCAGAAGCAAAAAAAATAAAATAAAAATGGGCAACTTACTATGGTACCCTGAATACTCAGCTTAGCTTTTCCCTGAATACATTATTCTATCAGACTTCCAAATAATAAAGTAAAAAGATTTGAAAAAAAAAAATTAAGACTCACAGAAAAAATTTTAGATAGACTTATCAGAAAGATACGAAATCTAAGTACCACACCCCCATACCCAACAAAATATTTTTAAAAGCAGATTTACAAAGTGAGATAGTCAAAGTCAGAGACGACCCAATTGCAGAAACAGTTTGAGAGAGGGAAAAGTGAAGGGAAACAGGGAAAAATAATGATGTCATCTTGATAGCAAGAAAATATGGTCAAAGCAAAAAAGATTTTGAAATAAGTTCCAATTTCAGTTACGTACCTTAAAATATTTAGAAGCTAAAAGGCTACTGATGAAATATCAATAGCTCCTTAATGAGCTTCACTGCTTTGCTGTTTTACGGCAATAGTGCATATTTGTTTACTTGCAACTGAAAATTATAAATTTACATAATGTGCAAATGCATGTATACAAATTAGCAATATAGTAGCTAAACAGTATATTACTCTCTTAACTTCTAAAGGGTTCATCAAAAGCTTACTTTTGGGCTGGGCATGGTGGCTCACACCTTGTAATCCCAGCAGTTTGGGAGGCCGAGATGGGCAGATCATTGGAGGTCAGGAGTTCAAGACGAGCCTGGCTAACACAGCAAAACCCTGTCTCCACTAAAAATACAAAAATTAGCCAGGCATGGAGGTGCACGCCTATAATCCCAGCTACTCGGGAGGCTGAGGCAGGAGAATTACTTGCACCTGGGAGGCGAAGGTTGTGGTGAGCGAGACTGTGCCACTGCACTTGAGCCTGGGCAACAGAGGGAGACTCAGTCTCAAAAAGATAAAATAAAATAAAAAAAAAATAATAAACAAATAGGACCAGTGGCTCAGGCCTATAATTCCAACACTCCAGGAGGTCAAAGCAGGCTGATCTTCTGAGCTCAGAAATTTGAGACCAGCCTGGGCAATATGGCAAAACCCCATCTCTATGAAAAATAGAAAAATTAGTTGGGCATGGTGGCATGTGCCTGTAGTCCCAGTTACTCGAGAGGATTGTCTGAGCCCAAGAGGTCGAAGTTGCAGTGAACCATGATCACTCCACTGCACTCCAGCCTGAGCAACAGAACAAGACCCTGTTTCTAAATTTTAAAAATGATGTCCTTTTGTTTTATATCTAATCCCCATAAATTAAAAAAAATTTTTTTTCTCAAAGTTGCGTACTACTTCTACAGAAAAGTGACACTCACTGTCATATAACTATCAGCTAGTCAAGCATTCAGTTTAAAATCTGCAAACTTGGAAAACAACTTTGAACTTCAGAGAAAAAAATAAAGTCCTGCCAGATTCTCAAGACATGAGACACTTCAGAGACATTAACAAGTCCGCAATGAAATTCTAAATCTAGAAAAATTGTTGTAAAAATTTTTTGGAAAACTTTTAGAAGGTAGGACCTTAAAAGACATTTGGTACTTAATTAAAATCCACTTTTTCTGCTCTCAGGAAATTATAAAATTACTTTCGGAGACAACAAGAATCTTTCCTGGTTAACCGTAAGCCTGAAGGGAAACAATGAGCTGTGCATCTGACATGCTATGCAGAAGTCCCAGGTGGCATTTAGTTATGTCTGTCACAGAGTCTGTATGTGGGGGCTATGGCATGAAAGGAAGCACTGGCGAAGATCCAGACCTGCAAATCCTAAGGGTGGAGGGGAGATGAAACTCTTGTGCACATGAGAGAAACATGCAGGAAGAACCTTGTCATTCCAAAGGCAGAACCCTACCTAATCACAGGCTGGTAAGACAAAGAAAAGAAATCACAATCTTAAAAATGACAACAGGCCAGGCACGGTGGCTCCCATCTGTAACCCCAGCACTATGAGAGGCCGAGGTGGGAGGATCCCAAAGTCAAGAGATGGAGACCATCCTGGCCAGCATGGTGAAATCCTGTCTCTACTAAAAATACAGAAATTAGCTGAGCGTGGTGATAGGTGCCTGTAATCCCAGCTACTTGGGAGGCTGAGGCAGGAGAATTGCTTGAATCTGGGAGGCGGAGGTTGTAGTGAGCTGGATCATGCCACTGCACTCCAGCCTGATGACAGCGAGACTGTGTCTAAAAAAAAAAAAAAAAATCACAACAGCATCTCACCTTGAAAACTTCTAAGTCATAGGCAACATATGTTTTTATATCATTTCCTCATAAATGATACAAAAACATCCAAATAATCAGGTGACCCTCTGCAAAATCCTAATGAAGGCATCTATTTCTTCCCCCAAACTCCTCCTCCCCAAAACATCTATTTTAAAACATCCTACTTCCCCTTTCGGGCGGTATTTGCCTTTGCTGTACCACCCAGAGTGCTCATCACAAAGCAACTTCTCAATATTAACTAAGCTAAATTTAATATGACTTGATGGAGTATCTATGTAGTGCCTTTGGTATTCGAGTTTCCAATGTTCTCTGAAAAACATTGGCCGGGTGCGGTGACTCATGCCTGTAATCCCAGCACTTTGGGAGGCCGAGGCGGGTGGATCACCTGAGGTCAGGAGTTTTCAAGACCAGACTGACCAACATGGTGAAACCCCATCTCTACTAAAAAATTGAAAAAAATAGCTGGGTGTGGTGGTGTGGGCACTTGTAATCCCAGCTACTTGGGAGGCTGAGGCAGGAGAAATCCCTTGAATCTAGGAGGCAGAGGTTGCAGTGAGCTGAGATTGTTCTACCGCACTCCAGCCTGCGCAATAAAGCCAGATTCCGTCTTAAAACAAACAAACAAACAAGCAAACAAAACTTTAAAAACAGTTTCCATTTTTCATTATATTTATTTTCATTGCATATATTTATTTGCTGAATGAGACAAGGTCTCACTGTTGCCCAGGATGGAGTGCAGTGGTGCGATCTCAGCTCAGCTCACCGCAGCCTCGGCCCTCCCAGGTTCAAATGATCCTCCCTCAGCCATCCCAGTAGCTGGGACTACAGGCATGCATTACCACATCCGGCTCATTTATTATTTTTTGTAGAGATGGGGTCTCCCTATGGTGCCCAGACTAGTCTCAAACTACAGGTGTCAAGTGATCCTTCTACCTCAGGCTCCTAAAGTGCTGGGATTATAGGTGTGAGTCACCTTGCCTGGCCCCCTTTTTTTTCCATTTTAAATATAGTTTTTACTCTAACTTGACATATAGACTGCAATGCCACTCAATGAAGATAGCATTTAGCTAAGTCAGTGTATAAAAATCTCTACTCAAAGACATTTTAATCAGGCATATATGAATCATTCACAGTAAGCAGTTAAATTTTACGAGGAAATATTTTCTCTGGCATTCTTCACAGTGACAAATTGTTACCTCTGTAGAGTGGTGGGTAAGAATAAATACCAAGCAGTGGTACCCCCTTCAGCAGATAAAGATGATCAAAGTGTGAATAGTGGATCACAGAAACGAGCAGGAAGACATGCTAGATATGCCATCACCCCCTTCCTCTTACATTGTATTCAGTGTCCCAAAGTCACAGAGCCACTTACTCAAAGACCCCAGTCCACAAACCAGACCATGCCTCGTCTTCCTTTCCTTCCCTACACTAATTACCAGTTTATGTCTCTAGAGACTGATTCCCCATCTTAATGACTTCTGTAATATAATCTCAAGAAAATTCTTAAAATTCAAATATAAATGCCTATAAATTCAGAGGAAAAAGGAAAAGGTAACACATATGCACAAATAAAAAATGAGTGCTCTTATAACAGGTTAGAACCCACTACTCTAAAGCTCTAATCATAGCCCCCTCGTTCTCTATCTTATATAACATGGATGGCCGACCCCTGCTGCTCCCTTTTACTACTCCAAGTTCATTAAGCACAGCAGGTGCCAAATATTAAGTGGCACTAATAACAATTTAACCTTGATTTCATAAAACTTAAAAGGGGGAAGAATACTAGACTCAGGCCTTTCTAAAGCAATACATGCACAAAGGAATAAAGTTCAGGTTCAAAATCATTGTCAAGGTTTTATTCTGAAAAAAGCAGAACTACAGATGAATACACTAGACAGTGCTAAATGCAATCTACATGCAGAGAACTCTGCGTTCCAAAACAAACGAATATGCCTTTATTCAACTGGGCCCAGTTTCCATTGTCCCTTTGGAAGACTTATGAGAGGCAATACCCATTATCTGTTGGAAGTTTGATAAAAACTTGTATAAACAGTGTTTTAAAAAATCAGAAAGTAAAGGGATATGGAAAAATAGTATCTTCTTGATTGAAATTCTGCTTAAAAACTATACAGAAGAGGCCGGGCGCGGTGGCTCAAGCCTGTAATCCCAGCACTTTGGGAGGACGAGGCGGGTGGATCACGAGGTCAAGAGATCGAGACCATCCTGGTCAATATGGTGAAACCCCGTCTCTACTAAAAATACAAAAAATTAGCTGGGCATGGTGGTGCGTGCCTGTAATCCCAGCTACTCAGGAGGCTGAGGCAGGAGAATTGCCTGAACCCAGGAGGCGGAGGTTGCGGTGAGCCGAGATCGCGCCATTGCACTCCAGCCTGGGTAACATGAGTGAAACTCCGTCTCAAAAAAAAAAAAACAAAAAACAAAAAAAACACAAAACTATACAGAAGTGTAGTTAATAGGAAAATACTTTATTTGATATGTTCGAATTAACTATTACGAGCTGCCTGTATTTATTATCTTTATCAATATTTAGGATGAAAGAACTGGGATAAAAACTTTCAACAGAAACCTGAATGCTGCTTAAAAAAAAAAAAAAAAAAAAAGTCCCTAGTGAAAATAAGCAAAAGAAATAATTTTATGGAAAGAAATTGCTGTTAAACACCATACCACAAGAAAATCACGCCAATATGAGTAAATAAGAAAACCCTGGAAAGTCAAGGGAGGTGAAAGTAGACTGCAACTAGGTGTGCAATGTGATACAAGAGTGGTTAGAGCTATTTTCAGCATTATACAAGTAACAGGTGATAGATCTCAGAGAAAAAGCCAGCCTGCCATATTAGCAAGACTGCTAGCTCAAGACCAACAGAAATGACTAACACACAGTTAAGAAATGAGCTGTCAGGTACAATTAGGACACATGGAAGTGATAAATAAACGATATGGAAACCAACCTAATCATTTAAGTAGAACTTTGAGATTTAAATATGCATCAACAGTAAGAATAAAGGCTGTATTATTATGAAGTATGAGAAGAACATTAAAAATCAAGTTTCTCACAAGGAGGACTTCCTGAATTTGTGAAAAAAAATCAAGCTATTTAGCAAAACAACAGAAAACAAACCTACACCCATACACAACAGTGATGTATACATAGTAAGAAAACTTGACATTGAAAAGGTGACAAAACTATTGAGTTTCCTTCTCTCGTGTTTGCACCACAGAGACAAACAGAACTGACAGGTTCAGGTGCCACCAAGTGAGACACGCTGGTGCTGCAATCAGAGGGAATGCCGCAGTGGAGAGCCCCTTCTGAAAGACACAAGAGCACCTTCAACACAACCAAATAATCCCATCAGATCAAGTGTTGAATTGCAGGCTTTTTTTCCTGACTTTTAAAAACATGACTGGGGCTTTAAAAACAACCTTTCCAGCCCCCCAACTTCTAGTCTCACTGCCCAGATACTACCATTGCTTATGCACTTTCCATAGAAATGTTTACATACATACACATTCATGTCATCACATACACAAAGACATGTAGGTACAAACTGTTCTGTAAAATACCTCTGCCCATGCATCTATGGAGGATAAATCTGAGGACATATAGATCTCAGCTCCTTTTTTAGTGCTTGCGTAATGTCAGCATACCATTTACCTGTCCGTAATTTCACATCCATTAGTGAACAGGAAGGCTATTGTCTGCTGTTTGCTTTTTGTTTTTTTTTTTTTTTTTGCTATTAGTTACAATAAACATCCCAGTACATGTGTGTTGGTATACTTTTTCAAGTAGCTGTTTGCAATTTCTAGAAGTGGAACTTCTATTCAAAAGGCTATATCCCTAATTTTAATAATGCCTAAATATCCTTCGAAAAGGTTGCACCCAGTTACTTTCTAACTACTATCACATGAGCAGACCTGTTTCCCTCATGCTCTCACCAATACCAGTATCAAAGTTTTTATAGTAAAATAAAGTTCACCTTTAAACGCCACCTCAATTGCCAAATGCAGCTTAAATTGCCCAGTGCTTTTTTTCCTCTCATGCTGTTCACAATCCACCAGAGCCCTGGCTACGTGATCCACGGGGAAAAGCATGCTTTTCACAAGGATTTGCTCTACTGACCTTCCTTCTTGCCTCTCTAACACAACACATGCATGTGCTCAGGATTCATGAACAAAAATTTACTAAGATACGAAGCACCTTTCATCAACTATCTCAAAGAGAAGGCTAACCAATTAAAACCTCACTTAACCTGTGAGACAGGTTAACTCCAGAACCTGACCAGGAAAAACTAAAAATAAGGACAGAGTTTAGTTTGACATGGCATCACTTAAACAACAAAAAGTAGTATCTTACCTACATCTCAAACACTTAAAAAGTATTTGTACTTCTAAATCTATGTCCCAATAAGGCTGGACACCATGGTTCAGGCCTGTAATCCCAGCACTTTGGGAGGCCGAGGCAGGCAGATCACTTGAGGTGAGGAGTACGAGACCAGCCTGGCCAACATGGCAAAACCCCATCTCTACCAAAAATACAAAAATTAGCGGGACATAGTGGCACACACCTGTAATCCCAGCTCCTCAGGAGGCTGAGGCAAAAGAATCGCTTGAACCTGGCAGGTGGAAACTGCAGTGAGCCGAGATCACACCACTAAACTCCAGCCTGGGCAACAGAGTGAGACCCATCTCAAAAAAAAAATTAATAAAATAAATCTATGCCTCAAATAGAATATGAAGTTAATATCTTATTTCTTAGGTGGACCTGATATTTTAAATAGCTCCTTATTCCAAACTACTCTGCTATTACAGCATGCAAAATAATGTGTTCTCACAAAAGAATCACATGGATTTAAGTCACCCAACATCCAACATTCACGTAACATATATGTTACTCTCCAATTTGCTAAAAAGCCATAGTTTGCCCTTGACTACTTAAATGTGAGATCCCACAGAAGATAATTCAAACACAGAGAAGAGAAATTCACTATATCTACATAACATTTGTATAAACTATTTTATTTTATAGTTTCAAATATTATCAAATGACTTTCTCAACCTCACCCCCATGTTCTTTCTCCCTCTCCATGGAATAGTCATATCACCATTGTTGATCAAATCACTATTCAGAGATTACATTATGACCATATAAATATTATTCACTTCTGAGCCATATAGATTAAGTTTGTCTTCTTTATAGTATTCTTCCCCAAGGAAATAAGCACTGTCTTAAACACAAAATAAGTATGAAACCAATGTATCTATCTTTAATTTGTTCCTCACCTATTTGGGGTTTTTTTTTTTTGTTTTTTTTTTTTTTGGTGGTTGTTGTTGCTGTTTTGAGATGGAGTCTCACTCTGTCGCCCAGGCAGTAGTGCAGTGGTGGGATCTCAGTTCACTGCAACCTCCGCCCCCCTGAGTTCAAGTGATTCTCCTGCCTCAGCCTCCAAGTAGCTGGGATCACAGGCGCACGGCACCACACCCGGCTAATTTTTGTATTTTCAGTAAAGACGGGGTTACACCATGTTGGCCAGGCTGTGGTCTCAAACTCCTGACCAGGCAATTCGCCCTCCTCAGCCTCCCAAAGTGCTGGGATTACAGGCACAAGCCACCACGACCGGCCTGTTCCTCACCTTTGACAAAACTGTCTCAACATGTTTAAACACATTAAGATGAGTATTTGTATTTAAATGTTTTCCCTAGCAAATTGGGCTTTCTCACTCTTGGGCTGATAAGTTGTGGAGGATAGGAGCCGAGGCAGTCTAGTTCAAGTCTGTTCTGAGACACCTATTTGCCTCTCTCTATCAAGACCACAGGGCTTCTGGAGGAGTGTGGCACTCTCAGGCTTGTTCTGACTAGGAAGACGAACCACAGCGAGACTGCACAGCATCACAGGGAGATGCTGGTGGGAGAGAGGTCGGTGGGGGCTACTGCACAGACAGGTGAGAGCTGACAGGCAGCAGACGGGCTGGAGGGAAGCCACATTTCAACAAGATTTTGAAGAACTAAAAGAACTGGATGACTAATTATAGGTAAGGGAGAAGAAGAATATCTGATATTTCTAATCTGGCAGGTGATGACACTGTTCTTTTTTTTTTTTTTTTTTTTTTTTTTTTGAGATGTAGTTTCACTCTTATTGCCCAGGCTGGGTGCAACACGCAATCTTGGCTCACTGCAACCTCTGCCTCCTGGGTTCAAGCAATTCTCCTGCCTCAGCCTCCTGAATAGTTGGGATTACACAGGTGCCTGCCACCGTGCCTGGCCAATCTTTTGTATTTTTAGTAGAGACTAGGTTTCACAATGTTGGCCCGGCTGGTCTCGAACTCTTGACCTCACGTGATCCACCTGCCTCGGCCTCCCAAAGTGCTGGAATTATTGGTGTGAGCCACTGTACCCGGCCGATGACACTGTTCTAATAAAAATAAAACGCAGGCAGGGGTAGCAGGAGCAAGTTTGGGGACAGGGAGAGAGATGAACAATGTGGAACATTTAAGATGATGAGACAACAAATAATTGTCCAATAGACAACATTAAGTATTATTAACCCATTTTCATCTGGTCCTACTTCTTTCAAAGTAGATTTTTAAAAAGGGAACTCAGCATACAAAGAGTTTTAAGTAAAGGCTGAGCAAATGAATAAAATATAACTTCAGATCTTAGTAGTCTGAGGGATGGTTTTTTGAAACCAAGTCTCACACTGCTGCCCAGGCTGGAGTGCAGTGGAACGATCTTGGCTCACTGCAACCTCTGCCTCCCAGGTTCAGGTAATTATCCTGCCTCAGTCTCCTGAGTAGTTGGGATTAAAGTAGCTGGGATTATAGGCACCTGCCACCATGCCTGGCTAATTTTTGTATTTTTAGTAGAGACGGGGTTTCACTATGTTGGTCAGGCTGGTCTAGAACTCTTGACCGCATGATCCGCCTGCCTTGGCCTCCCAAAATGCTGGGATTACAGGTGTGAGCCACCACACCCAGCCAGCAATGTTTAAATAACATACAAGTCTCTTAACAAAACCCATTGCATGGCCAGGTGCAGTAGCTCACACCTGTAATCTCAGCACTTTGGGAGGCCAGGGCAGGCAGATCACCTGATGTCGAGTTCGAGACCAGTCTGACCAACATGGCATAACCCCGTCTCTACTAAAAATACAAAAAATTAGCCAGGCATGGTGGCAGGTGCCTATAATCCCAGCTACTCAGGAGGCTGAGGTAGGAGAATCACTTGGACCTGGGAGGCGAGGTTGCAGTAAGCCGAGATCGTGCCATTGCACTCCAGCCTGGTCGACAGAACGAGACTCCATCTCAAACAAAAAACTCGTTGCAGAAGTGAGAATAAGGGAAGCTTTATGGGACGGGGGAAGTCTTAGGAGCAGAGCAAAGCTGGGTTTGAGGTCCATCTTCCCCACTTCCTAGGTAAGTAGCCTAGGGCCTCCCTAGTTAAGGTGAGGGAGCTTATTAGACATACATACTCTGGGCCCCAGGTTTCAGACTAACTGAATCAAAATCTGCATTTTAACAAGAGTCCTCAGTGACTGAAAAGCACCAGCCTAAAGCAAGTGAAATGTTCTCTAAGCCTTGCCTCCCCACACCATTTACAAAAGTGGGGATAAGCACATTCACCCTATGGGGAAGCTGAGGATTAACAGGTGCCAAATATTTACCAAGCTTCTACCAAGATGTTAGTGTCTTACATATGTTACACCATTTAATCCTCTCAACAACCCTATCATGCAAGTATCGTTTCCATTATAAAAAATGAATACATTGTCAGGCTGCAACACTGTCCAAGGTCAGACTGCTTGTGAGTAGTAGAGCTGCTACTCACTGTGGCTCCCCGCTCTGCATTTGGCTTCCCATTAACCTCAATAATGCATATGCGACTTAGTGCAGCCAAGGACACAGAGTAAGTGTGAGAACAGGGGAGGAAAGATGCCTCGCACCTACAGAGAATCTAAACAGTTTAAAGCACCATCAACAAAATTCAAAAACTGTACTCATACAAGCTTAAATGACTCAGCTGTGCTTATCCTTGAACTGATATTCAGATAAGGATGTGGCATTAAATGAACAGTATTTATTTCAATAGTTGTGCTAAAATAGATCAACCAGCAGAATGCAACGATGGTTAATAAGACTATATGAAAATTCTTAATATGACACAGAAAACTCTCAATATAGCTATATTCCAGGCTCCTGAGGGACAGGAATTCAGACAAGAAAAGGAACATGCTAAGAGGGTCTGCAACTGTAGGATATATTTCACATAAAGACTGAAATTTTTGGCCAGGTATAGTAGCTCACATCCCTGTAATCCCAACACTTTAGGAGGCCCAGGTGGGAGAACCACTTGAGGCCAGGAGTTTGAGACCAGCCTGGGCAACAGAGCAAGACCTCGTCTCTACAAAAATTTTAAAACTATGGCTGGGTGTGGTGGCTCACATCTGTAATCCCAGCACTTTGGGAGGCCAAGGCAGGATTTCTTGAGCCCAGAAAGACTAACCTAGGCAACAAAGCAAGACCCCACGTCTATTATTTAAAACACAAAACAGGCTGGGCGCGGTGGCTGAAGCCTGTAATCCCAGCACTTTGGGAGGCCGAGGCGGGTGGATCACAAGGTCAAGAGATCGAGACCATCCTGGTCAACATGGTGAAACCCCGTCTCTACTAAAAATACAAAAAATTAGCTGGGCATGGTGGTGCGTGCCTGTAATCCCAGCTACTCAGGAGGCTGAGGCAGGAGAATTGCCTGAACCCAGGAGGCGGAGGTTGCGGTGAGCCAAGATCGCGCCATTGCACTCCAGCCTGGGTAACAAGAGCGAAACTCCGTCTCAAAAAAAAAAAAAAAACCACAAAACAAAACTAGCTGAGCACAGTGTTACACACCTGTTATCCTAACTACTGAGGAGGCTGAAATGGGAGGAACCTTTGAGCCCAGGAGTTCAAGGCTACAGGCAGCTATGCTGGCATCTGCATTCCAACCTGGGCAACAGTGACACCCTGTCTCTTAAAAAATAATAAATTCTAGGTTATCTTTCAATAATTATTTTTAAGTATTAACATCCCAAAAAAGAATGTGCAAAATTAACATGTAGAATCCCAAGTGCTAGTTCCGAACAAATCTTAACCATGTGAATCACTCACTGTATCAACAATTGTCTAATTTCACTTATCCAAGCCCACAATATGCCTGACATGGTCTCAGTCTGCCACACTCCTCCTCTGTGCCTTTCTAGCCACACTGGTCTTCTTTCATTTCCTCAAACACAGTAAGCTCTCTTCCTCCCCACAGCCTTTGCAATGGCTGTTTCTTCTGCCCAGCCCTGACTTCCCTGTTCTGACAGATAGCTTGCTGATTGTTATCCTTTACAGTGTGTCTTTTTTTTTTTTTTTTTTTTTAAATAGAGATGGGAACTCACTATGTTGGCCAGGCTGGTCTCAAACTCCTGGCCTCAAGTGATCCTCCTGTCTTGGCCTTCCACAGTGCTGGGATTAACAGTGTAAGCCACTGCACCAGG